ACTTTGCAGGACTTCGCGGAGTGGTGTGTGTCGCATGATCCTGGCGCACTGCCGGGGCTTCTGGAGAGAGTGCATGCGTTGGTGGTTCCTCCTCACAAGAATTTGTTGGGTCGAGGCTTATTACAGCTGATTATGGATAATTTGAAGGTTTGTAATTACTATTACACAATAAGTTACCAGGCAATACATTTCTGTTTACGATATATACTTTGACACGGACGTTACAATCATAAAATGGGCATGAATAGTCAATTCGTATCATTATTAGCTCTAACAGCGGTCATGCGGGTATTATATTGTAACATGAATTAAAGAGAGGCTTCGTTTTCAATGTCAACTGTTGCGTGACTCATACGCAACAGTTCGGAGCATAAGTACAACTTAGCTTCACAATATTAGTTTTATAAATAATGTTCAGTATTCAATGACACTGATTTAGGTGTAATTCTAGTACCGACAAGGTCTTACTTAAGCTTAAGTATTTTCACCGTTACAAAACCCTTGAGTGATTTTATGCAGTAAAATAACACATAAAAATATAATTCTTTAAATGCGATTGAGAGCGTAAATAAGGCAGACTGCTTAGATACATTTCCTTAAATAAAAATAACAATTTTAATCTTTGCTACAAACAAAATATTGTCAAAATAGTCAAATACAAATAAACTGTATGAGGCACACAAGAAACCGGTCGATATTTAGACTACCTTCGTATTGAATAAATTTAATTTAGTTTATTGACGACAAATTCGTGTCGGAGTAAATCTGACATGATTGTAAAAAATCAACTGCTGGACACACGTATTCTAAATTAATTTGGTGTATTTTATTCCAACGGCTTCCTTTGCCAGCCTACTTCAATCCATCTACAACACGTAGACTTTTCAAAACGAATGTAGAATATCATTATAGAAGCATATACACAATATGTCACACAAAAGATGATTTGCTAACTGTAAAGGATGACTCATAAAAGGGTCAAACAACTCTGTCTGGGCCGGAGAGCTCCACTCGACTGGTCCTAATAGCTGTATCCTTGTAACAATTGACACTCAACTTCTTCGTCATCGCTCATACCCAGTATAATTTGGACCTCGCGGTGTCGCAGTCACATTTATTTGAACTTTACGCCCCTTTAAAAGGATGTGGGAACAAAATTTTATGTGGATATCGTTTATTTGTTTGTATCTGATATCTGTATTATGGTATTTATAACTCGTATCCTATAGATATATACATTAATTAATGTTTAATTTGCTATCAGTCATTGTTACTAATAACGCTGTGTAGGTTTGTATAGATAAGAAACTTTTACTTAAACCACTGCTCGTTCAAATAACGCGTAAGTTGGCTTTTGTTGTTGTGGCATAAAGTGAATTACTCATATACCCGTTATGTAAGAAAGTATACAACGGAAAGTAAGACATTTTTGTCAATGATTCATGTAATAACTGTTATTGTGGCCTCACACAGTCTACAGATAATGTAAAATTGCTGGAAATCCTTAGCTCACTGCAAGGAAAGGAGAACATTAACGAAAAAAGGATTCAGAGTAATAATGTGTTTTCTGTGTTACAATCACAAAGTACATGATATTATGTCGTGGGAAATGTATTGAACAATAACTTGTAATGTGGTGAGAACTCTGTCATGGTATTGAAGAAAAAAATATGACGCGTATCGGTTCTAAAAAAAAACTAAATTATACAATCATATTCTCGGGTAATGTAACAACTTTATTTTCGCTCAACTCATCGTTGTATATTTAATATGTTTTGGCATTAGATACTAGATTAGTTATTCGGTTCATTACGGAGCCGATGACATAATAATACATAATGTAGGTATACGAATCATTGATTTCAAGATTACGTCGAATTAGATAAGGTATTGTAAGAAACAATATAAAAGAAGAGAATCAATGTCATTTATTGATTTGGGTTAAACAATGGAGTTTCGAGGTTCTGATAAAGGTGGAGGATGTGATAAAGGCCGTATCGTGTCCTGGGATACTTCCCTTACAGGGCTGGCATTGACCTGCCGTATCATCAGAACAGAGCTGACATTAAAATACAAAAAGTTTTATATTTAAAAAAAAAACTATGAAATGTTTATATTTTGAAATTTAAATTACGTTAAATTTGAGTATCAGGAATATAAGTAATATAAAGAAGATTGATAGTAAATTGAGTAATATAGACAGTAGATTTTGACGCTAGTTAAATTGTTACTGTGTTAATATAGAAAAGGCATCCTATTGACGACGCGCGACGTAACAATTGATTGCATGGATAATAATGACATAAATAATATTATTTTATTAAAATTTGCTCGCTAGCTCGCAGGCAGAATGCAGTGTCTTTTAGGGTATAAGTTCCATTATACATATTCTTGTATGCTATGTATTTCTTGCAAATAAATATTGTAATTTTGATTTAAAGGAGTTTTTCAAAAGAATTACAGGTGTAGTCTACATCAGGTCAGTTACATAAACACGCATGTACCTGCGTGCGATAAACGAAGTAGCAATCCTTGTAGATCACCTTTAACAAAACCAGGTTTCAAGTCAAGGATATATCGCATTTATAAGGTACATTTACGGAAACTCTCTTTGTTCGTAAACCTGTTTTACAAGTACATTATAGTGACAGCGTACTTTGATCGTAGTTGTCGTATTTGATGAGATAAAAAAACCTTGAAATCGATTTGAACATAACTTTTTTCTAAAAGTTTTGTTAAATATTTGAAAAGACGTATCGCACAATGGTATAGTACGGCCGCCGTATCTACTATCTTGGCGAGTCTGAAGTTAGCCGTTTGTAGCGCAGCTTATAGTCTAACTTCATGCAGACTCGCCAAGATACGTCGGCGGTATTGTAAACACATGGGTAGAGCAGAAAAATACGTCATAGTACTCAGATAAGATGGTTCTAAATAGCTTGTTGAACACGTCCCTGCCTATTAGCAATATGCAAATCCGTGCCTCGAATGTTTCTTAGAAAATGGAGCAACTACTATATTATTTCTTTGTCTTAAGCTATACACGAAGGCATGTAATTAATGTTTATGTCATCGATGACACAATAATCAAGTTAATTAAAAAAAAGACAATAGCTTATTTGTTTGTTCGCGTTAGACTAAAAATGAATATTAGCAGAGAATATTACGATGTTATGAATGGTAAGAGAAATTCTAGAAAGATATTGTAATTTCTCCTTTATGTGGCACAAAAATAACTCACTGTAGATAAGTAACAAGTATTAGTTCTAATTACTACAATTAATCATTGAATGTCGTGGTGTCCCGGAGGTTCAATTCCTCACGTGCATGCGTTCGCGGACGAGTACCATATAACTTTTCCAAATTATATGTACTTTTTAAGTTTATTTAGACAACAACGATACACGGCGAAGGAAACAATCGCGAGAAAAACGTCGAGTTATAAGTTTGAAAACTCCAATCCGCTTTGAGCAAGCGTGATGATTAATGCTCAAACCTTATCCATGTAAGAAGATATATGTATAGACTGGTAATAAACTACCTACATCTGCATTGGCAACACGTTGTGACGTCACCACGTCATCATTGAATGCAACGCCCCCCGCCGCAGTAAAACGACACCCGCCCGCCGACCGGTAACGTACGGTAATTGGCGCTTCCTCATAACGCACAACACTATACCAGTGTCGTATCAATGATAATATTGTTTTACCGGCACGGGCCGTAGGGATGTCTCTTGTTTGACGATCCTTTAACGAATATTACGTATTTTTTTTCCGTTTTTTTGACGATGTGAAATAAATTCTTTAAATCTTTGTTAAATTGACATAAGTATAATATTTGTAACAATGCGGAAACATTGCAATAATGTACAATGGTAAACAATTACATAATTATATGCACTAATGCATAATGGACGGTGATTCATTCGATATTGAAATAAGTGTTCCATTCACATTTTGCTTCTACAAAATCTATTAAATAAGACGAAGGACTCAAGTTTATCGAGTCTATGATTATGTTTTGTTTTTTATATTGCTACCGAATGTTATTTTTGGACGTGATTGTCAAACAGACCACGTTCGATGAATAAGTCACTAGAATTTATATTTTTGTATTAGGTACCAACAACGAGATTTTCCTACGTATGAGTCAGTCCGGAAGCGCGGATTTCACGTACAAATTTCGAAGACAACCTGTTTCTAAGTAGATATAATTCTCAGAACTTGACAAAGAAAACATAGGAATAAACAGACTTGCTGTTTATTCCAATGTGTGTGTAAAAATGGCTACTAACGCATGCGACATATTGCGCGGGAGTTGCCAGCTGACACCGCCGCACATGTAATGAGAAAATAATAATAACAATACTACTGCTACCAACTTAGACACGTAACTTGTGATGTGCTATTTTCGATTCTATTATAAAGAGACAAGAGTCAAAACAGGTACAAATTTAATATGGCAGAGTTAAGAGTATTAACATGCGGGTGCGTAGGGATGAGGCGCGACGAAAGCGTATCTAATCGATATCGATACAGTTTGTTTAGATGTATCAAGTGATACGGGTAACGATTTTTTTATATATTTTTTCCTGAAACTGCGTTAATTTATGTATTTAATCATATAACTAAGTACAAATAGAACATAATATTTTTGGCGTTGTAACAATACAATAAACATAAAAAGTAAACTTAGAATGACGATACGATAAACAATCGAATTTCCTTGTGGTATTTATAAACAATCAAACGGACTCATGGTGACTGCCGATAAGCGCCATGCTAATTTTATTAAAACAACCTTAAGGACAAATGTAGGGATACAAGAAAAGTAACAAAAGGCGGATCAACGCGTATGGCCTTTCATTCGCGGCTGTCATGGCATTCGGATAAAACGTATCGTGTTAGCGTTTATTTTGAAATAATACTCATCGATAGCGGTTATCGACCTCTCGCTCAGCACTAGAGCGACCCCACTCGCTGCGTTCCGTCGGTCCCCTCAGTTCGCGGCAGTCAGTGTAACTCGTGCCGCGTCACAAAACGTTTCACTTACACAGTGTCACAATGAGAGTCGCAGCGCTTTTTGCGCTGTTCGCGATAGGTTTAGCAACCGAGCTTACGCCGACGGATTTAATACGACAAAGGTTCTACGATTTAGAAGAGGAGCTATGGAGGAATGTGACAGACCCTTTGTGGAGGGACTCCGGCCTTGGCGGGGACGTCGAACTAACAAAGGCGTTCTTCGCGTTGAACGAGCAAATCGAGTTAATTCCAAGGACTAAGAGGCTCACACTGAGATCGTGGTTATGGAATAAAGTGTCAGAAAAGCTGCAAGTCGTTGATGGATTCTATAAAAACTTTATGGAATTCGTGAGCCACCAGGCGTCCCCAGGCGCAGTGCCTGCTCCGGTTAAAGAGTGGCTGGATATAGCTGAATCTATTTTGATGGACCCCAAGACCTCGGTAGCTCAAGCAGTAAGGAAGATTCATGGATTCTTGGAGCACGGCGATATATTCCGATCAGTAGTCCAGGTAAAGTGATTAATAATACCCAAATAATAGGGTACAATGACAACAACGCTGGAAAACTGTGTAACTAGAACCGTTTAGTTAGTGCCTTACTTGCTAATCGCAAAACAATAGGAATGTTTACATTCACGATGTAATAATGCAATAATTTTTTTAGAACGTCGCATTTATTATATCTTGTTTTTGTTTAAGTTTATTGTGTAATCGTCTTGTTCATGTTGATTGTGGTGCCCTCATTATTCGCTAAGCTATTTTAAATAACGTAGCAAGTTTTAAATTATTTACCCGTATATAGAAATGGTACCTAAGTATATTAGTTTTTCTACATAGTGAGCGGTATACAATTGTAGAGTTTTTACAAGCAGTGGTATAAATGGAGGTCGCATTTCACTGTTTTAATACGCGCGAGAATGCTGACGATACTCGTTCGTTACCTAGTATTGTGGTAAGGACGTAACTAGAAAGTGAGCCTGGTATTATTAATAGTCGTTACTAAATCGCAGAGGTATTGTTCAAAACACGACAACAATTATTACAGCACTCGTAAACATTATATTATTAGTACTACCACTATTAACAAACAACATAGTGATCACTCGAAGAGGATAATAATGTGTTCCGTTAATTATCCCGTATAAGTGCATGAATCTGTTTACTTGGTATGTCTTGCAACATTACACATACACGGCGTATCCAGTACCTACTGTATAATTAGCTATTGCAAGTCTGAGAACAATTAGTGTCCTGTGTCAGACTGTATGTGTGCCACATTACATTTGGATCCGTACACACGTCCTAAATGGAGAGAGCAACGAATATTTGTGTTCAAACTTTTAATATTGAGAATTTAAAAGTATATTACACCACGAAATACCACGAAATTCAGCCAAAAAGTAACACAAGGAGATTGCATTAATTTTTGTTGTTAATCTTGCTTTTTACATTTAAAACGCGGATGCCAGTATGATATGAAACATGTCCCTACTACACAGACATTACATTCCCAAAAACCAATGACTCAAACCCTAGTGATTCCGAAATTACTACTTTACTAATAAGTCTTAGTATAATGTTTATAGCTTATGTCTCTAGTCCCTAATTACGCAGATGTTTGTATAACGACAATTGAGCAACTGAGGCCAATTAGATTAATTAATCGTGATTAGTTTTATGAGGGCAGTGCGTGACTGATATTAAACATTTTTACATCGTACTTATAAACATAAATAGGGGTACTTTTGCCCCACTGTTATAGGGACCAAGCTTTGATCTTAATACCATCACCGATATAATGTTAAAAAATATATAACTACAACGTTGTTTTCTTTTTCGTTTCTGTGAATAAGAGGAACAGTTAAAGAAAGCCATTACAATTCATGAATATTTAATTAATACCTAAATGGGTAAACTCCAAGAATATAACTGTATACATTTTTGTTATAAAACCACACGCTATCATTATATTATTATTCACCTATACAATCTATACTGTTGGTGACTTCATTTCGTTCCTTGTTATTTTGTTTGCCTATCTGAACAATTGAATACTTATTTTGAACAGATTTCAAGAACAATAACATATAAAAAAATTGTAATCACTGAGGCGTCTTGTAAAATATTGTTCAACACTACATAAAAAAATAATTAAACTAGCGACACAAACCGGTTTTTCATCTCACTTTACTTTTATGTATATAATAATTATACATAAAAGCACAAAAACTTTTCCTATGAATCATTCTTTGTATTAGAGAACGGAATCAAAATGTGTTCAGTAGTTTTCGAGTTGAGGACGTTCATACATACATAGATAGACACTCGACGGGAAAATGTTTAAATAACATGCACGTTATGAATGGAAATATTGCTTAGATATGAATTATATTATTGAATATAATATTTTACATTGATTTCAGGATGAGGATTCAGACGTATGTGACCTACAGATGTCACCGCACCAGCTTATCTACGACATGTACAACACCATAGCACTGACTGAGATCAAGGGGTACGCCATGATGCAGTTCTCTTGGATGCTGTTGAGGATATATGGAAGAGGTGAGCTTTATATACATAGCCATAGAAATGGTTAGTACAAAGATTTATAGGTTGGGTTCATTAAATTATATGAATACTTATTATGCCAGCTGCGGATATAATTCCAATTATGATAATTACAAAACCCGTATAATAACACTAAGCAAGCAGATGTGCAGAATCAGTTTTATAACGTGATCGTGGGGGATTAGTATACTTAGATGAACATTTGTGTTCTACGATACGATATGTTTTTATTTATACGATGAGGAAAACCATTCATTCAACCTAACATAAATATTAAAAACGTGATTGATGAAACGCTACAAACATATTTGTGGCCGCTCGAGTACTCATACTAGGAAATAGTGTCATTCATCGATGCTAAGAAAGTAAGTCTTGTCTTGTCTTTTCAAACGCGTGAAAACGCTAGAAAATGAAAACAATGTTAACGCAAAATTGAACTTTAATATGACATACAACAAAGTTCAATTTTCATTAGACATGTTTCTGTTGGCAAGTTTTTAAATAAAAAAAAAAATCTATACTAAATCTTTGGAAAAATAAGATTGAATTTTGAAAAGCGCGAGCGTTGATAATAACTTTAAGCGTATTGTGACTTTATTTGAAATACGTGAATCATTGTGCCTGATGCGTCAACCAGGCAGTTGCATTTGTGCGATATCAACAAAATGATATGCAAAATATAAATTCCATTTGTTTTTAACAAAGCGTGCATCAATAGGTATATTCTTTTAAATTAACATTATTGTCACGCCCATAGGCTTAAGTAGAAGTGTTGCATTGAACCTTTTCGGAGTCTAACTAATAAATTAATACGTGGTAAAGGAAATAACAACTTATCAGGAAGTCAATAAGTAATATTATTCATTGCTCTTCTGCTACCGCATGCCAATCGACTTTATACATGGGCAAGAAATACTACATAATCTGGACTAAGTATTTAAAATGTTTTAATATTATTATAATTATTTTCAATGGACTCTTGCGCGGTTTGACCCGCCCTTATTGGTCGTAGCGTGATGTATGCCTATAATCCCTGCCTCCCTGCCTATAAAGCCATCCTCGAAAAAATAACTATACAATATAAAAATATCTATTAAATTCGAATTATTAGTTTCGGAGATTAACGTGAAAAGATCACAACAAAGTTCGCAATGCACTCTATCTCTTAAATAAGAAACTACAAATATCGTTTGATATAAACTTATTATATTGTAATAAAGTTATAATATACCGTATTTTGTCACTATGTAATACCGACTAATGACGTTATAATAAACTGCATTTGCGCGTACGCACGTACATTATGTTTTGCACAAACCAATAACAACAGGAATAGATTCGTTATTATTACTCGTATTATATACCTATGAGCAAAATAATATAACAGAATTTAACACGATCGTGAACAAAAATGCCGTCATTGTTTTTATCGCAGAATTAAAATCTCCCGGTCTAGTCTCCATTTAGAATGCAATGAATTTCGACTGTATAAAAACCACATTTACCTATGAAAAATTTGCTTTCTGACTGTATTTTTAGAGTGTCTGTTATGTGGTTTTTAGGTAACTTCACACAGGAAGCAAGTTTGACAAGACAGAGGTATTCTGAGAGGACAGGACAGACGGCGACAGCGGCGCGTTCAGCGCTGGCCATGTCAAAACGGGACCTGTACAGGTGCGACCCGCCAGTGCATACTAGCGGTGAGTATCTACCCTTACACTACCTAATAAAAAAGAAGATTATAGTGCACAAATGTGTGTAGTTCTCTCATTGCCATAATTTGAACAGCAATCCACCCCGACTATACAGAAAGGTCAAATGAAACAATAGCTATTTTGGACAATAGTCACTAATAAAAGACTGACACGACCATCTATAATTTCCAGCGACCTACGCCGAAGTGACACGCCTTCTGCAAGGCTACGTAGAGAATGAGGTAGACATGAACAGCGACGGCACTTGCAAGGAGAACTGCGCCTTTTATACCCTCACCGAAAACCATGGCTGCTACAGTGATCAATTCTGCGAAAAACAGGAGAAATGCAAGGGCAGAATCATTGACTGCCAGTACCTTGACTCGGACATGTGGGTCTGTCCTGCGGTGAGTCAATTACAAACATTTCAAACTTACATGTATACAAAAAGTGATGCCATAGTTCTATGGTACAGAATCTACCACCGCCTATTATGGTCCTTAGATGTATACTTCTACAATTTCAAAAACAGTTACAGTTGATATGTAAGGCTAAATTGGCTTAATTGATGTGTCGTTGTATCTTAATTATCCAGACTGATTGTACAGTTGTTATAATTAAAAGTAAACATGTCACATAATCATACCACGTATTCAGACAAAGGGGAAATAACAAGTTCAAAGCAAAAACCTAACATTGTTTGTTACTGTAGAGTGATCTAAATTGGCAGTCTCCCTGACCTCCTTTGTAAACAAACAAATCACGATAAATCATCACGAACGAACAAATACCGGCCAGATAGTAAGATATATTTGCTTTACTTTACAGTCTCGGCACAGCCAAAGGCGTTATGAATGGATCGAGTACGAGAACGGACGCACACTGGGCAGGGTTGGCAGCTGCCGGTTGGGGACAACAAAAGTGAGAATTTTTTACAACTACATACTACAAAATATTTCTACATACTTGTATTAAGTGTATGTTATGAAGAGCAATCATTAAACTGCGTGGCTTATCTACCGCGTAGCAGAATAGTTAATGAGGTCAGATGATTAAGGAAACAAATCGAAAAGCAAACGCGATAGCAATACTTCTTACTGATTACTTGTGACAGATTTTGTTGAAGAGCAAACGCTATATAAATATTCAATAACAGTTGAATGGACAAATGTAGAATAGATGTACATATGATATGTGTGTGTATTTAATTTTACTTGTACTAGTTCCAAGGCTTGTGTTACGATATAGTGGCTATGTCCAGGTGGACTCGTGGTGGCGTTGGCTATTCTGGCACTGTTCGTATTGCATGTGCCTCTGCGATGACGCGACCGGCTCCCACCGCTTCTTCAGTCTCCGGGAAGCGACGTCAGACATCGACAACAACAAGTTAGTCCCTTAAATGTCCGGGTCACCCGCACACTTTTAGGGACACCTCCCCCCTCCCATACCCATGTAAACTAAACGATCAGATAGATTATAATGAATATTTTTCCTTCAAAGGTCGACTCCTGGTGGAGATGGTCACTTACTCACTGCTCGTATTGCTTTTGTCTATGCGAGGACGAAGCCAGCGTGGCTGAACGCTTCTTCAGTTTACGAGAAGCGTTGGCAGATGTTAATCAAAACAAGTCAGTACCTGAGGGGACGTAACTAACACGGGGATAAACTATTGTGTTACTTCATTGGCTTACGTTGTAAATACGGCTTACAGAAACAATTGAAAACGCAGTGTACTATGCCTAATATTCCGTGTCTCATTCTTTACCTACTGACATTCTCTCTAGTGTTAACAGCATGGGTGCGGGTGATCTACTACTTACACACTCTAGAACCGCACTAACGCTAAACTTATCTTCTAGGGTAGTAACAGGAATGCGATTGGTGAAGCTTGGAAAAGTATTCCACATTCAAATCTATCAAGGCAAACTGGTTGAACGCGGGTTCGTGGAGTCCTCGGAGGAGGTGCTAGCTCAAGCGTTTGACCCCGAGCATGCCGGAGTGTTGGAGGGCGTCGACTACCACACGCTGACTTATGAAAGGAGAGCTATTGACTTGGATGAATTAGATTCTCCTTCCGGTCACGTCTTAACTGGAGCCAGGTGAGAAAAAACATCAAAAATGATGATAACTTAACTTGTAGTTACTGATTATGTATAAAGCTAAACAATTTGTTTCATAGATTCCGAATGATCGGTGCCCATCTACACTTTGAGATTCGAGCTACTCCGTTCAACTACACAACAGGAAAACTTCACCCAGAGAAGAGCCAATGGATCAGCAACGACAACACTGAAGGATCGCACACACCAAGGTAAGCAGAACTTTAATAAAGAAACCACCATCGAAACAGAAAAACATATCTACCAAGATACTGCGTATTGGAAAAACATCCATAAATCAATAACTGTAAATCTTTCTTTTAAAAAATGCAGGTCTCGTCTGGAGCTATACAAGCCAGATCTGCCGACACGATCCCACACAGTGCTGCGCATAGACTCGCAACACGACCAGTACATTGAGTTCACGCACTCAGACTTCGATGCAGACGCCGCACAGAGCACTGTGCCCTTCATTGACGTGCAGCCTGTTGTGCCTTCTAAAGGTAACAATTAACATTTGATTCTAGTTACACAAGTTTTGGTTCTGTTTTGGGTAGATTCAATGACTGTTTGGATTTTGTTTCCAGCCCTCAATACCAAAGGCGCTACTTTATTGAGCGGTGCTGGGTTATACCACAGAGGAGCTCGCGGCTCAGGCGGCTTCATCGGCGTGAAGGTGATCACCTATGACTACTCCAAACACGTGAAGGCAGAACCACCCCCGTCAGAGTTTGTTGACGAATCGGAGACAACTGAATTCGTGCCTATCGTCAACTAGAATACATTTTAATTTCATATACTCATTTTATTTTGTAATGTAGCGTAATTGTGACTTTTGATAATACGTATTTTTTAAGTCTTGTACTGAGTTTTATTTCGTTTAAATAAATAGTATGCGTACAATGGTAGAGTATGTACAAAAGGGATGTTAATATCAAACAAGATAACATTACACTGGTTGTTTACGTTTATAAGTGTGTGGCGCATGGGGTAAACATTAATATTTTGCATAACATTTGAATTCATGGAAACTATGTTTTGCGTATGGAGTGATAACCATATTTACTCTATAAATTCTACTTCACACTTTTTATCATTCCAGTAATGTGATCTTGTTTGTCATGTAGCGTTTCGATAGAAAATAAATCGTTTATCTCCAGTTTTCTAGTCTACATACAACTCCAAATATGAACAATAAATAATATAAGGTACGGACTGGTTTTTGTTCTTAATTCACTTCTATGATGCACCGTATTAGTGTGTACAGCTTTTATTAATACTCGTATATAATGTTAGTAAGTAATCTTTCTTCTTCTTTGTTACCGGAGCAATATGTTTTGTAGTTTGTGATATGTCAGACCGTTTTATTAATAAGATTTGTAGTTTTGGCGGAGCCATGGTGCGGGGCGAGAGACACTGTGGACGTCAAGGATCGCGCGATGATGGGCCAATGTAAGCGCGAGTCTACGGACGGGGAGCTAGGGTAGCTTGCCGCCCGAAAAGCAGACGCGTGTGGCGCGTAACGTTCCAACAGTCCATCATAGATGTGGGCCCAATGGGGATGATGTTCAGCGCAATAAGGTATTCCGGCCCCGGACTGGAGGAGGAGAAAGAACGAGGTCGTTTTTAGTCAGGAAGTCACTCCTCGCCTCTAAACTAACCAGAGCGAGAAAAGTTATATGGAGATTACCGCCCTTCAAAAAATGAAAAAGTCTTAGAACACTAAGAATGTGTGTCGCTTTGTAACCTGCACTGAACAAGGGAAATGTCAAGGAACGCCTGTCTTAAACTCCTTACAAAAAATAAGTCTATTTTCAATGTCAGTCCTTCATAAGAGCATGTAGAACTGTTATTACATATAAATATTTTTTGTAGTACCTACTTATATGTTAGTAGTAGACGTATATATTTTCACGTGTATGTATGTTAGAGTATTTTGAATTTAACTTTGAAACTTTTGTTTTTTGGCTTTGGAAAATGGTGAGTTGTATTTGTAGATTGGTGACTTACAAGGTGTATTTTAGACCCACTATATGATTTAAGTTAATACGAGTGTAGTATAATACTCTCGGGCGGTTTCACACGCTGCTGCGCTTCCACAGATAGTAACGTGATGTTTTAGCATCAACTTCATCGCTAAATGGACTAACAAACACAAAAAGAATTGTTCGATTCAAGCTAGTGGTTCTGGAGGTTAGCGCGTTCATACGAACAAACAAACTCTTCAACTGTATATAATTAGTTGAAAACGGTTATAACGGTAGTGGGTTGAAGCACATAAAACACATTAAAGAAAAAAAAACACGTAGAGTGAAATAGTCGGATCAATAAATAATGAAATGAAAAGAAATAAAGCGACTTACCTGCTGAGCAAATAATTGTTAGCAACGTAAAGAGGTATAAATATCTGAGTATTGAGAAGATTGTTTTAATAAATTGTAATTTACTCATTTCGTATGATATTTCTTGTATTTTGTGAATGTGCCTTTTTTAGTAATTGTCATATTCACATACGGAACTACAATTTTTGTTTTTTGCACAGGAATTGAACCCGTGGCACATAAATGGTGGTTCAGCTATTTTGTTATGTGACATTATGCGCCACTAATGCTTTAGGATAGGTTCAAGTGTAACGGAAAATATGTCAATATAACGTACGCGTGTATCGACATACACGCGTACGTTATGCATCACGAGTTAGTATCAGGTGTGAGATGATGTACGGTGCAACGGGTTAAATAGATCGTTAGATTTTTTTGTATATCTATTTATCATCATCATCAGCCTATAAGCTGAGTTAAGGTCTCTTTTCACAGAGAGAAGGATTGAGCATTAAGCATCACGCTTGCTCAAGGTGGATTGCTAATTTCAAGCTTATAAATCCACGAAAAATGATGTGTCCATATTCTTAGAATGTAATGTAACTCGAAAAAAGTCATAGTGATTTTTGCCAGGTTTTGAAACCGTACCCTCGTACACGAGAATTGGGTACGTTAACCACCAGGTCAGAACGACGGATATGTATTTACGTTTGACGGTAGGAGTCGCGCCTAATTTGTCTGTTATATAAAATACTAGCGGTTGCCCGCGTGTATGTCAAGTTTACACTTTTCTAGATGTTTTTAATTTTGTCTACGTACAAACCTTCTCTGGCTTCCACGAATAATTAGAAAAATGAGTGAAATCGGTAAAGGCATCGTTGAGTTATAAGATTAGAAGGAGAAGTGGTACCTGTACGCGCAGCGGATGCGCGGCGAGCAGCGCCAGCAGGTCGGGCGGCGGCAGCACGTCGGCGGCGCGCAGCCCCATGCAGCGCGTCCCCGCGCACAGGAACGCCGCCAGGTACCGGTGCAGCGGGAAGTGGAACGACGCCTGCATCACCTCCGACTGCCACACAAACCTTCTCTTATATACCGGCACGAGCGACCGTACATGTCATTGCTTATTGGGGATTTTTACATCTACTATTCTTAGAGAATGTACAGTACGGCCGCCGTATCTTGACAAGTCTGAAGCTAGCCGTTTGTCTGCGCAATGGATCTTTTAGGAACAAAATTGTGTACTGCGCAGCTAATCGGTTAACTTCAGACTCGCCAAGATACGTTACGTTATAAAATGTCCAGTACACTGTAACGCGAAACCGAATTGAAATTCACGCGGCATACCTGGCATGGCCAGGGCGGTTAAATTCGAATTTTCATCACTTCATATATCATCTGACTTCCACAACTGCTGAGGCCGGACGAGACTCTGACCCACACCGCGGTAGAAATTTTTTTACCCGAGTCTGTGTTCCCCGATAGCTATAGCTTGGGTGTGTTCAAAGCCCCATTGAATAAGTTGCTTATGGGTGTAGGCACGCTCCATCGTAGTTCACATTATGGATTACTACCAGGCGTGATATCAGTCAAATGTCTGCCATCTGTCTCATGAATTACAAAATAATGAAAAAACCCTGCATCGTTGTATGAATAGTTTGTATGTGCAAAGAATGAGTTACCCGGTCCATATGCGGCGTGGTGAAGTGCACGGCGTCGAGCCAGTCCTGGAGATGCGTGAGCGCGGCGCTGAGCATGCGGCGCGCGAGTAGGCCGTGCGCGGGCTCCGTGAGGTGCGCCAGCACGGACCACATGGGGTAGGCGGCCGCCTCCAGCTCGCACGAGAAGGCCGCGTAGTACGACGACGGCTCGAACTCGATGTGCCCGCCCACCTCGCGCACGTTCACGTTCATGCCCTGCAGCATGGACAGGAACTCGAACCACATGTCCACCAGCGCGTCGTCCTGCAGGAACAGCAGCGCCACGCTCTTGTGCGACAGCACGTTGTTGAAGTCCGACACCAGCGGCCAGTAGCAGTGCTCCTTCATGACGCGCCGCGTGCAGTCGATCACGTAGTGGAAGTTGTGCTCGGGGTCGTGCAGCGAGTTCTGCACGAGGATCTTGCCCATCATGAGGCGCAGCGAGAGCACCATGACGTGCAGCAGATGCAGCTGCTGGACGCAGCGCAGCGCCAGCGCCTCGTTGGAGAAGAGCTGCACGGACATGTGCACGACGCGGTTGCTGAGCGTGTCGGGGTCGGCCGCCTCCTCCAGCACGAGCGGGATGCGCGCGTAGTGCAGCACGAAGGTCCGCGTCAGGTGCTCCTTGTAGTCCTGGTCCGGCAGCATGTTCAGCAGGAAGCACACCACGTTCTGCGGGAACTCGTACTTGAACGTCCAGAATATGAACTCGTCCAGCAGCGTGTTGTGTTGCAGCCGGGGGGCTAGCGCCGGCAGGTGCCGGTACCTGCGGATAAAAATGAGATATTCTAAGAATATGATATGTTATTTGGTTCATTTTTCCACTTCTTTGTAATATAATCCACACAAAAAAATAATGAAACCACTAAAATCACCTATATATACCGACGATATAGTAAGAGGTATACTGAATTCACTTCAAGTATAGGATAAAAATAAAATTATGTATACTCACTCGTCAGGCGGTTCTGGCGCTGGAAACATTTCGAGTGCTTTCTCATACATCTTGTTGGATTCCGCCATATAGCAGCCGTACTCTGTGTCTGGGAACGGAGGCTCCACCAGGTTGCGGTACATCTGTAATGAGTAGATACATTCACAGTTAATAGGTAATTTATTTACCTCGCATGTAATCGATGCACAACACAACAGACAGAATGATTAAAAACAATGTTGTAAAATTAATGCTAAATTTCTAAAAACCTGTGTTTTAATAACTGTCTGAGATAGTCCATGTTTCTTCAATTCTGATGAAATTGAAACACACGAAGATGATGAGATCACCGTCGATCACGACAAAAAAGTTTGTAGCTATACTTGTTTTTAAAACTAGAGTAACATATTAACAAAACTATTCCTAATTACATTAAATTAAATATTCTTTATTTCAGGCAATTAAACCCATAGCAATATATAAAAAAATCTAAAAAACTAAGCAGTACAACAAACAATATAAAGTATTAGGTAATTCCCCGTATTATTCCGAACCATTATTAACTAGTAAGGGAAAAATCGTGGGAATTTTGATAAGGTATCGCCTTGCTCTCACCACAACAACTTACAATTGGGTAGTTTCCTAGGTCAAAAATAAATTAATTCGATGTTTCAATACAATAAATTATTGAAAAATGACTATACTTTTATTCATCGATCGTTTATTGTTAAATAAGTAAGCTATTTGACGCAAAAATGTTATGACGTCATAGCTCAGTTTTTCATACAAATTTCATAGAAAAGTATCGTTTTTGACGTTTGGATAAAAGTATTGAATTTGACTAGTTGGAAACTACCGTATTGGAAAACATTAGGTCTATATCTAGCAGTAGAGAGCTTGTAGCTGATATGATGGTGGTTGGTAACGTACCTGTGGGTTAATGAGCGCCTTGGTCATGGCGGAGCGCATGAGGTCCCCCATGTTGTTGAACTCCATCAGCATCTTGACGTAGCCCTCGCACTCCTGTACTGTGATCCTGTAGCTATCTGACGTCGTCTGTGAACCGCAGCTGGGGGTGATATTGTGAATATCAGTAATATTACTTCTGCCAGTATGTTTTTCATCGTTATAGGGATAGTCGCTTAAGTTTTATCTGAGACTAATTTAAGTCTCGTGCCTTTAGTTTTGACCGCTTAGTTTTATTTTGTTTATGGAAAAACAATTTGTGGATAACACAAACAGTTGTTCCGTACGGGAATCACCAGTTAAACTGTGCCAGTCAAAGATTGAAAATTGTTATTGGATCTGAAGATTAAAAAATCGAAGAAGTAAATAGTTTTCACTCTCAATACTTAGACAATTTAACCAAAAACAAATACAATAACGTTATCATATATACTTAGTTGATTAAATTACTCAATATTCATTGTACAATTATATTAAAATATGACATAACATTTAAAAGGCCATTAACTTTATACGACCTATATGTACCGTTAGACAGGCAACCTTACACAAGCACTAAGTCTTGACCTAATTCATGTCATAAAACCAGTTCTAGGTTACATCAGAATGCGCTGAACGTGGACTATAAATACTTGAGTAACACGGTTGCCGACAGAAATCTTACAAGTACACGAGTGGCTTCACAAATCACTCGAATGGTTAACTTTTTGCAGTTGAGCCGATCATGGAAATCGTGAAGGAAATGCCTTGGTTTCTACTCCCAACAACTTGCCAAAAATATCAGTATGGTTAATAGTCAATAAGGGTTAACTATACAAAACCATTACTTATCTAACCTACGTCAAGATAATATTTCAGTAATCGGATTATTGGTTTCGAAACCAAAGTGAGATTCTATGTTAATCCTTTGAACACCTACAAAATTACCCCTAATGCCGAAAGTCATCGATTAGTTGTTACACTATGTACAGCCGCGTAAGGCCCAACCGAAGTTTAGGTCGACATCTGTACGAAGGCCCAATATATGTATGTATATGAAGGCATTTACCTAAAGTAGATGCAAGTAGTTGGGGCCCAGAACTTTGATTTAGTACCTAACAAAAGTGTTTTTATTTCAGATACAAATTGGAAGGATTATTTAAGCCATAAAATACGTTTAAATATGATGTCATAATTTTAGGTCGCTGAGCCATAAATTACTGATTTTAGAGTGTCTTGGACCGGAATGACAAGATTAGAAATTAGTAGAAAACATCAATTGATATTTGTCAGTACATTTGTCACATAAAAACTGTGCCCACAAAATTGGCATTGTGATGTATACTATTAAATAATACTCTGGTATTCACAAGTTTTTTTACTATTAAATAAGGCATTTTACCTGTTCTCTCTGAAATGTTGGAGCAAACGAAGAATGAGTCGCGGCATCATTGCTTCTGCGACGCACATGAGGGCTGCGGGTACGTCGCCTGGGCGCGTGCATTTGTTGCCGTGGTTGCTGCAAAATCTGGAACGAAATACATAAGGTTTAGATACAGTAAAAAAGCTTAACTTCTATCTGTGTATCAGTCTATAAACATTTCAGATGTGGTTTTGGATGCAAGCACAGTAGTGTATTAAAACGCCGGCTTGGAAGCCGGAGTAGGAGCTTGGAGCAGGAGAAGGAACGAGGTATTTTAAGTCAGTAAGAGTATGACTCCTAAACCTCGGACGGGACAAGTCATTGGATGACCCCCCCTAAGAAAAGAAAAACTTATCGTAAAAACTGTCTTATAGGTGTGTTTGAGAAACGAGAACCTCAGCTTACTAACTACGAGATTTAAAAAAAATGCATAGCAACTTAGCCGTTTTAATTGCAATGATATGAGAAGAAAGCAGAACTACAAACAATAATGAATGACACAATACATATACAAAAAGCACGTGATTCGCGTTATAAATCACAATTTCCAACGCAGATTGACAATCAAAACAGGATACCTATCTACAGCATCTACCTATATCACTACATCACACATCCTCATTAAATCGAGATGTGTGACGTAACGACATGACGTCATAGGCCCAAGGTCACTGCGAAGGTCTGGGAGCAAGTTCAAACGGACGTCTGAGTCACGAAAAGGTCATGAAGATGGTTTTATCTCTTTCTAGCTTGGAGGAAGTCCTATAACAACGTTTAAGAGCTAAGCATGGCCGTTTTTCAGCGTCTCCGCGTAGTCTATTGTCGTTTTGTTAAGAGGCTCGATATTTATTTATTTGCTTTGTTTTGTGTTCTTATCTGGATACTGGCCATTTTGTTAGGGTATTGTTTAAAGTGAATAATAGAAACAAATCGTTTTTATCTGCACTCTTTAGTTACACAGTAGTAGCTATCTGGAAGTTTACATTAAATACCTATTTTAGATCAATTAATGGCTAAAGTAGCACTTATAACAATCAATCAAATCAGCTTATTGTAGCAAAACATAGTTAATCCACAAATAGCCATAATCATCATGGAAACATACTTATTATAAAATAAAACGTAACGACTGTCGGATATACTAGCTTCATAGCTTACAAAAGTAAATACTAAATGGCTATGTTTTTTCAGTGTCCCATATTTATGCCCCCAAACTATAGCCATACAATCGACATTAAACGTCACAAAAGCAGTAACAAATTGCTTCATTATCCTAGTTAGAGATCGACTGAAACTCATTTCACTGATAACGATCTGCGTCAATACAAAATGGTTACAATATCATTAGATAAGAATGCCATGTCGTTTCAAGTGGCAATCACTCCATTTACACCGGTATCTATGTGTTTATAATCAAAACGTAATCATTCTCCACTATGTCAAGTGCTTTGTTTATACCGTATCTTTATGGGGCAGGGTGGGATACGAGCAGACAAATCTATTGATGGTGATTGGTAAGTCATTCGACCATGGACAATGACTTGCAAGTGCGTTACAGCACCTAGCCTTTTGAGGGTTAAGAATAAGGTTTAGGTTAGAGAAAAATAGTGAGTCAAAAATAAAATTATTCTTGACTTGATGTTTGTCTAATCTATGCTAACACTATAGAGAGGTAAAATTAGTATGCTTGAATGTAGGGGAAACTAAAACCGCCGGATTTCTGTCTCTCTCTGAAATCGCCACATTTCTCTATATATATGTATTACACATCACCCCACGAGTAATCTATAGGAGTTGGGCAGCGGGTGAAATCGCGCGGCAGTACCTAGTTAGGTATATAGAGATTGCAATACATAACTGAATGTACTAACTCTCTGCCTACTTCATAGGATAAAGGTCTACCTCGAGTAGGTAGCTCCGTAATGTGTTCAACGCAGGAGGCGGCATATGACTAAATCGGTTCTGCGTAATCATTGATTCTAAGAACAAATCTTTATTTTACTTCATATTGAGGAAAATCTTTAAAACAAACGTAATTGATAAAATCAAATTTAAATTAACTTTGTAGGTAAGGTTATTATTAAAACCTACTGATATGACTAAACTAAAGTTCATTAACAATTCCAGGTAGGTAGGTTAGGTAGTTAGTATCAATAAACGATCGTAAAATAATTCCTTAGAAACCACGTTAATCTGACGTGGAAGAAAATGTAGAAAATTATTCAAAATGAAAATTGTAAAGGGTAATGAGAATGAAACATTTAAAGGTTTACTTTCTTTTTTTTATAGACAGGAAAAACTATATTCTTTCTCCCTGAATAAATCGAGATTGTCCGGACTCATACTGACTAAAAACCACCCCATTCCCTCTTCTGCTCCGGACGTGAGTACGGCCACAACCCTATTTTTACCCGACTGCCAAAGAAGGAGGGTAATGTTTTTCGAGTGTATGTAAGTATGTATGTATGTCTTTTCCTTTGTGACCTCCTGTAGCCTAAACGGCTTGATGGATTTTGATGTATGAGGTATCGTTAGATTTGTCTTGATTACGGGAGTGTCATAGGATACATTTTATCCTAAAAGTCCCACGGGATAAAGACATAATAATATTTTTTCTAAATTTCCCTTTAAAAAAATATGTATGCGGTATCATTAGATTCATTTCAATCACGGGAGTAATTAATATAGGATACGTTTTTTCTCAAAATTCCCACGGGAACACCTAATTCTTTTTCTTCTTCACTACCAACAGTCCAGATTGGCGGTAAATTTATGTTGCGGAGTAACATCACTCGTAATCTAAAGCCAAATGTCGTCGAAATAATTTAAAATGGTACTTACATATACATAGTCTTCTACATCTACAACATTTTCGTTAAATAAAAACAGCTAAAAAGTTATAAATAAAAAAATTATTATTAAAAAAACAAAATACCCGACTGCACACTAAAAAAAGAGTAAAACAAGCCCCACAATACAAATTTACTGAATATAATTTATAAATGTTGATGGAAAGCATCGCAGGCGGGGACTACCTTGACCGCCACCAACGATAATTCTGCTAAATGGTGCACAACAGAAATGACTATAAATAAGCCTCTGTTGGTCCCCGCCTGCGATGCTTTCCATCAACATTTCTAAATTATATTCAGTAAATTTGTATTGTGGGGCTTGTTTTACTCTTTTTTTAGTGTGCAGTCGGGTATTTTGTTTTTTTAATAATAATTTTTTTTGAATGGCAATAAAACAATGCACAGATTTTATAAGAACCGCAGAAACGTGAGAGGAAACTAAGATACTTTGAGAAATGTGTTAATTTATTCGATGTTAGACTTGTTAGTACTTGTTAGTAAGTAGGATTAGTTAGACTAAAACCCTGCTTTAGTTAGTCTAACTCGATGTTTCTTCCTGAACTTAATAGGCAGCAGTAAAGTGAAACAGGCCATTAGGCGACCTTGCTTAAGGGTCTGTTTATTCTATTACAAAAATGTAAATTTCAGAAAATAGATTATTTTAGTGTTTCATGAGAACGAAAAGGATGTCATTACTGCAAGGGTCTGCTTTATCCTTACAGCTAATAAGAATACAAATGTAATGAATACTTAAAACTATTTAACGAAATCATTCGAAAACGATTCTAGCGAGGAGCAGTCCTTTAAAAATTAGTTTATTTCATGGTCACACATTCAGATAATTTACTACTTTATTTATTAAAATGCAATCGATTATGACCCTAAGTAATAAGCATTTTATGGGAATTTTCCATTATCATCGTTACCAAATGATTTACTTAGGAGCAAACTATAGCCCAAATCTACTTATAGTCTTCACACAACTATCATTATGTTAAAATGCTCATCCATCATTGAAAGCCTCCCAGTCGTGTTATGCTTCCCTGATTTGCTTTATAAAATTACGACTTTTTGTTTTGTTTGAGCAAAAAAACTAATCATAGTTCAATGTACTTGTTTATAGTACTCGGAAGGTATATCGACGCACGATTTTTTTGTGTATTCCATAATTTATGTGCTTCAAATGTCTGGGTTATATTGTGGTATCTACTTACTTTTTTATTTAAAACACTAGTTGTAATAGATATTGAACTATATTAGTTTGCCAATAAAATTGCTTTCTTATGATTTATATTTCATAGCTTCTGTATATGTTCGGTGTGGACTCGAGTCTAATGAATGACATACATCTAGCGATGTACAAGTCCTTGAAATGAAACATCGTATTGATATTGATTTGTTTATACCTACGCAGAGCCCCCTAGCATTCTCTATTTACACTAGTAGAATTTAATCACGCTCATGAGGTCTAGGACGGCCTCTACTCGGTCAAGTTCAACAGAGCTTGGGTTTTCATTCTTATCACGCACGTGTTTTGAAGACGGATTACTTATCAGGAGCGATAACGTTTCGTAACTAGAGCCAGTGTGATCAATATTTGGGTAACACGTTTTATCAATGATGATTGCGAATATTGTGATGTGTAGAGTCGCTGATTTTTCACGAAACCATCGTGTGTGGAGGAAAACACTCGTATTAGATAATCATATAGTAATCCTGCATTATCTTCATAACATCATGTTGATTGCATGGTTGGCATAGTGGCTGACCTACTAGCAACTGTCTAAAGCGTGTGTGATACTGATCAAATTATTGTTGTTCCGGGTATGAGTTTGCTGTCGAAGTCGTAAATCGAAATGTGTCTTTTTTAAGGGCCTTTATATGACCAAAAGTATTTTGCCAAACAACAGCGACACTGGGTCTCGTGTTGCTCACGCACGCACGACTCCGCACGAGTGCTATAAACAGCAACGTCCGCGATATTACAATAGCGCTGAGCTTCGCATTCGATGGCAAACATCGTAACAAGCACGTGTTCGCGATAACAATCACATTGAACGTCTCCGCACGTTCCCACTTCGTTGAGTACGCTAGACAACGCAATGCAGTCCTACTTATATCCGATTTAGTCCAGACTTTCAACAAATGCCCCATATTTCCAGTAATTATTTCCTGTTGTTTATTATAAGTTTAGGGTCAATAGTTTAAGAAACATATTTTAATTTTTAAGTTACTATGTCGAATTAGTTTAAGTTACCTGTAATGGCAAAGTAATATGTAGAAATAAATGAAAAAAAATAATCCTGGTAACTGTTATCTCCTGAATTGGACCTTTAAAGTTCAAAGACAAAACCAACTGGGTAGGTATGTAAAATTATCTAATACACGTGCATACGAAGTGAGAGAACAATAAAAACGTTTCCATCTACCTAAATCACAAACGAACGGGGAAATTGAATTTTAAAACGTATATCTCCGCCTACTTATTACCATAATGGAGATTTTTATAGACTGACTGCCAAAAACTATGACATAATCGACGGTGAACTAGATCGTTTTATATTATGTTAAGCAAAGTTTTAGACAACGTATGTTATCTTAGCGAGATATTAAGAACAATTTCGGGGTTTCTTTTGTTTTTATTTTCTACGAAAACAAAAATGTACTTAGCTACTGAGGACAACGTGCTGGTGTCGTCTGGGAGTCTCATAATGATGTTTAGAACCAAAACACAATCTGAAAAACAATTTCAAAACAACTTTTCCTGTAAAATAATCATAAAGATTTAGATTCAAGTTATAGAAGGATGAGCATGAAATAAACAACTTAGTCGCTGTAAATAAAAGCACCACTTAGCAGATTCGCGCTCACGACTAGAGAGCAAACATGGGACATGGCGACGCATAATTTCACTAATAACAAACATTGAGAATAACCAGTTTAATAAACACAACTTCTATTCCACAAATAAGGATAAACAGAGTAGTTTTGAAGTTAAAATGCAAGCTTAGGATTTTACCTTTGAGAGCTAAGTAATTAATACTAATATTGTAAAGAGGTAAAATTTGTAAGTTTGTATGTAGGGGTTATCTTTTGGAGCCGCTGGTCGGATTGCCAAAATTCTTTCACAGATAGATACAATGTAAAACATCACGCTATGATCAAATGGAGCCGAGCAGCGTGAGAAACCGCGCGAGAGTAGCTAGTAATTTATACAAAAGGGTCTTTTCATGGCGGACTTCGAAATCTTTCATTAGCACTCAATTTATATTTCGATTTTTGTCTACAGTTCACCATTATTATATGTATCGGGTTACCGTCTTTGGCTATAAAGATGTGTTAGATATCTGCATTTTGAACGTGGACCGATAAAGGAACAAGTTTATGTATTTTTGGGTGCTGATGTCGAAATAGTGGTGCAGAAAGGAGATACGCTTCATTAAAATGCAATTTGGTTACAACAACGTTTAATTCCAGTCTATTATAATGGAGTAATACCTACTTTCTCTGCGTGGGATGATAAATACTATTATTTTACTCCATTTACTCTTAGAACCTTTGAAACATGGCGCAGTTTTGTATAACATGGGTCGTTTGCAGGCGCTGACGTCATTCAACCGCCCCCGCGCATTCGACGGGAGCCCAGAGCAATCCCACCGTAATCTTAGAATAAGCCAGGCAGTTAGGGACTACTTTTTAGGCCCATATTGCATATGCATGATAAGCATTCAGCTGGTGAACTTCTTCCCACTCAAACATGAGCAAAAGTATTTATTCGTAAAGAGAAATCGCCCTGTTAATGTTGAGTTTCCAAATAAATTAAAAGATAATAGTAAAATGGTCATCATAGTGTAATACTACTGCTTATTATCAAAGCAGTAGTAATACAATTTTATTTTAAAAGCATCAAATGTTGTAACCACCTGCATACGAAATGAAACGAAAGTTTATTATTTTGTTTTAATTGGGAACTGCCAAAACTCACGAGTGTGCGTTAAAAAGTAACGTTTATGTCCCACACTGTGCATCAATAAATAACATTTTTATTTGTATATCCAAGAATAACATTTTGGCGTCAATCTGAATCGAAATGTTTTTAAAGTGCGAGATATATTTGGCGCCGGGAGGACGGCAGATCGCCATTTACAATCCACTTGAGACAAGACAACCTTTACCCTGATGGTATCTCAGTTCAGATCCCAAATTGCAAGTGGCGGCTTTATTATGTGGATAAAAACGATACAGGTTTTCTTAACCCGATATTGGAATCTGATTCAGGGTGGCCTTACAACAGCGGTGGCTTCAAATTAAACTAAAATGATCATTACAGTTGCTTTTTGCTGTTAAGAGATTAACTATGTTGTCCTTGGATTTTCTCTTGGGATGTGGATGTGCTCACTAACATTAGTCTACACATTGTGGATCCTGCCGTAAGGCAGGCAGGCGCCGGTACGGTACGGTAACCCACTGGACGACATGGACTCCCAGACACTGGGCGGTTTTATTCTTAGTGGTCATACCTGGAACGACTTTACTGGGGAGTCCTAGATAAACCTCTCCCATCCCCTGACGGGAAGGGTATGCGTATAAAAAAAAAAGCTCAGAAGACTCGACTCTCAAAGTAGCTTACCCGTCCTCCTTCATAACGGATTTGTCGCCACAGTCGCAAGCGCCGCCAGCCTGCGACAGGAACATGTTGAAGTCGTGTGTAGAGTGGTCGCCGCGGTGGAAGCACTCCCGACATATCGACATGCACGGTGAGATGCCGCATGTGCGACATCGGTATGCGACAACGCGCGGTATCCAGACTAGACCGCATTTGTCGTGTTTGTCGTAGCTCCGGACTGTGGACAAAAAGGTTTGGTTTTATAAAACTAATCAATGTGTCATTATCAAAGCTTAGCTGTGTAGAACGTAAGTAATGTAAAACAGTCTAGTTCAGGTTGCAGATCTTTAACATAAAAATTAATACCACAATGTGTTGGTAAGCTCACGCCTGGGCCAATTTTGTCAATACCTAATTTGTTGTGTTCGTTATTATATAGCAGGGGCGATCTGCTAGTTGTTTTTTATAAAATAACTGCATTTATGTTTGTTTCTGTAGTTAAGGATTACAAAATAAGGAAATCAAAACAGAAAAAAACGAGATAAAAACACGGACAGTTTACAATCAATTTAAAAAAATATCATCTTGATAAATTTTCCTCATTTTTATTTTGTGTCATATAAAACAAGGTTGCAATTTGTATACAGTGTTATAACTAAAGTTTTTGGAGATATATACTCAAACAATCATGAGTCGGCATTAATCCACAGAAGGAAAAGTGTAAGTTTACATAGTAGTTAACAGGCACACTACTCGTTGGGCAGCCAGCTATGTATGAGGAAGTAATTAGGGAGATCCACTTTAATTTCTTAGAAAATCCGCTTTGAATTACTGAGTCAGGTGGATTAAGCAGGGCAGCCCGTTCTAACCAAATTAATTATTTTTTTAAAAAGAAAGCGTTGCCTCAATCTATCATTTTCACCTGTGTCATGGTTGCGTTTACAAACATACAATTTCACATACACATCACATCCAGACCCAGAACAACAATGAGTGGATCACACAATGAGTTGTTCCGTGCGGGAATCGAACCCGCGACACGTTGTGCGGCAGCGTTGCCCAGCCACCACGCCAACCGTGCAGTCAGAAATATGTATGTAGAGTAGATAAGTGCAGTTTTAACATAAACCTTGTAGACTAAATATAGCACCGCATTATAATGTAAAGATCCCGTTAGAATCGCTGCATCCGAAATCCGCATTCGTCTAGGTGATAAATTCAGTAGTACTGCAGTGCGGACAAAATCGATTCAGATGAATACAAATCTAGTACATATGTAGATTTTTATCATTGGATATGTAATTTGTCGGATTACAAGGTACTCTTTTGTAAAAAATTCCGGACTATAGCAGTCTTAGGCAGTGCTCCATAATTCGACAAATTCGATAGTCCGACACTGCCCTGCATAATGTTTGTCGGATTACCGGAGGTCCACTGTATTTAAGAAAAACCCGTGACTAAATGAACTAAAGAAACATTCCGGTTATTTTACTAGTGCCCAAATTACTAAACATTAATCACTCGGGTCCTATTCTCATAAATATCTCATACAAGTATCTAATTGTTTTATTAGCATCTGCTTGAAAAACATGAAATAACAATAGCTGGTCCCACCCTGGTAGCGAAACAGCAAGTCATTCCATGTAATTATAGTGGACTCTAATGATTTTGAGACCATAACTAATGGGTATCAGATATTTTTAGGTTCTATTAATATACATGTCTTGAGTGGTGATGTAAATCCCCAGCAGTATTGATGCGGAAGGTGTCGAGGTTAATTTTTGTCCTGTCATACTAGAGCCGGCACCGACATTCTGTTTTCTATAAACTATTATATTTGTACTTTTATGACAAATCTCAAGTGTATGTTTGTTTGTTTAAACGAGCTTATTTGCGAAAATACTGCAAAATCTGAAATTATTGTGTAGAATATTTACTCAATTTAACGATTAAGGTTTATCCTAGCTAATATTTATAAACGCAGAGTTTGTACTTTGTAAGTATGAATATTATGATAGACGTCTGTTACTCATTCATGAAACATTTTTGAATGTATTCTTTCATAGCATGAAGTGATATCTATAGATAAGAGATGCATAGATTAATGAAGTCTGGAATAAATCATCTAAGGGCTGATCTTTCAAAAGTTAGATAAATGTTATGTGCGGAATAATATTGTTGCTGTCACTGTCTTATAAAAACATTCTGACACGACAGCATCATACTGATTCCCCAGATAACTTATATCGAACCATTGCAAAATCAGCCCTTATTTTTCCATCCGGGTAGCGCGGATGAAGCAGCTGGCAGGGACCAGTAGGCGAGGTGCGGATGACCGGGCGCGGGAAACCACACGCAAGTAGCTAGTTAAATAGTTTTATCTCTTTAGGTGGGAGTCATTATATTGAAATTTTGTACCTAATTTATGGTCGCATCACTTCTCTAAGGCCTGTTAAATTTCAGACATTATAATAAAACTTCGAACTTGACAGTTGAAAGAGCAGTCGGATTGAACTCTCAGGGTTATCTGGAATCATACTGTGCATCTAACGGATCTCATTTTCATGGTGAATCAAATACGACACGATTACCTCGAAATGTTTATTATTCATTCACAAAATTCCAGGTATCTAGCTACTAATATAGAAATGACACGATTGTTGAATGAAACTATTAGCCAACTGACTATTTACAATTAATACATTGACCTACCAGCCCTCTGCCTATTTCTTCACTTAAGCTTATGGTGGAATTTGTACATAAAGATTCAATTATGTTATTATATAGAGTAACTAGGTACTATTAATATAACAAAGCAGAAGATTTTATTTGAAAGCCTTTACGTACTGAGTTACTGAATGCTTTATTTAGAACTTGGTATGTGAATTTGGTAATTTTCAATTGTAGATTTTAGTTTAAGTTTTCTCTTGATAGGATCTTTGATCTTCTAGTTTTGGCCGTATTGTTTAGGGTTGGTATTACATTGGCGTTTTTAAAATCTGTGATATATCAATACCCTAACAAAAATTTAAACCAACAAATTATATGTATTAAATATCAAAAAGGGTTCTTGTTGAGGGTAATATTTCCACTTTGTATAGGAAAACGACATAAATAACAGTTATGACAAATAACGCAATATTGTAAAACAGTTAAATATTAAAATGATTGTAACGTACATCGACGTACGCATTGAAGCGTGTAGCAACTTGACATAAACTGAACTATCCTGGCAACTGTAAACCGGGCAATAAAAAACTGAAAAATAAAAACCGATAGTAAACACATAAAAGCAATTAGTAGCATGGCAATATAAGCATTACGCAACATTAGCCGGCTGTAACAAGGCGTCGCATCGATAATTACGAGCATCGTGCGCGTGCGCCGAACGGACGGTCGTATCAACGTTCGTTGTACACGTATAGGTGGTTATTGCCCTGACCGTGACGGTGCCGCCGCTTTGGGCTACCACTCATGAGTTGACATCATATCATCTATTATTGAAACAGGTAGAAGACTACAAGGATGTAAATATACCTATTGCAAAATGTTTATCTCCTAAAACATGTTTTTGGCGTAACATTTAAAAGGAAAAATAGCGTGGCAAAATTTTAACGAATTTTAAGCAAAGTGATGTAACACAATTAAATGAAATAGATTTTTTAGAACACTCATCATACATTTTCGGAAGTGGAAGTAGTCGTTAATAATTGTAGTTAGATAAATTCAAATTGGATATTTGCAACATCGATTACTTAATTTGATTTTTATGGTTGTATAGACAACGTTGGTGTTTTATTTATTATACATATACTAATAATAAATAAAACACCAAATGTTAGCATAAAATGCGAATTTTATTTCCAAATAAATTTTGTCCGAAAGAGGCAATATTGAGCAGTATTAAAGACGCCAAGATACAAAGTTGCAATCCGCAAGAGTATTCCACGGAGGTCCATGTCTCGTAAAGTACAGAAACAAAGCGGGCGCTTATCTCTTAGCAGGGAGGAACACGGCACGTGTCTGTTGGACCGCGATCAGCTGTTAGACGGGGTCGACGAACGCCACGGCCGGTGAATAACACCGTCCGATACGAAACGCACCGGAGTCAATGCACTTGCTAAGAAAACTGGGGTCGTCTCAAAATGTACGGGTAAATCAAACTTGCATACGAGACGCGAACACCAAAATGGTTGTCAAATTGTTCACGAGTCTCTCGGTGACTTGCTAATACGCATCGATATAGCGAATAAACGTAGTTTCTTTTGCGTGTAATTGAGTATTGTACCCGACGATATTAGTTCGTATCGAGCATTTGTTTCAATTGTGAACATTAAACCGTTTATGAACAATGTTTGCACTTGGGGCGTAAAGGTTGAATTACATTTTAATGTTTGCCATTGGCTTCACGTCCGCCTGGTAATTTGTGGACAAATAAGATATTTCTACTCTGGCAATAAAACTTTGGCATTTTAGGATTTTCATGTTTATCTTGCGAATCATGAGTTTACACGGTAAACATGTGCTACGTCGGAGAAGTTTTATGAAAAATGTAACGTTGCAGGTGTTGAAACAGAGGTCAAGTAATGTGACAAGGAAACCTTGCAAACTTTGAAGAAATACAGCTATTCATCTCGGTACAATACCACAACTCACAATACACAACTGGGGGCGCAACAAGGAAAACCGCTTGACATCAACCACACTTCCCAAGAACCAGCCTGAATTAACTTAGCAGCAGCTTTGGTTAGAATGTAACAACTCGTACTTTTTATAGAGGAATTTATCCTCTTCCTTCGTTCGTGTGAACCACAGAGGGGCATTCGCGAATAAAAAATAAAAATGCGTACAGATATAAGATCTGTGGCCACGTAATCATGACATTCGTGACTGAGATAGAACCGGCAAGGTGACTGAAGAGCGGTTCACAACATTTTTCACTTACGATAAGTACTTACTTAACTGAAAAATTGAACTGGTCATATTGGAAATGTGAAATAGTATTCATTTTATTTCGTTTGCAATTGTACAACCTTATAAAGACCAGGACGAGACATTAAAAATGTCATTATTAAATTAAATAGCACTTAGCACCTATGATGATTTCGATTTTTTTAAAGAAGAGTTTATCTTGTTAACTTTAACTTTCTAAATTAGGATCTTTCAGTCAGAAATCAATAAATCTAGTTTGATCAAAATGGGTCTAAGTCCGTGGCGTTGTGAATCACACGAAAGCCA